TCGTACTTTTACGTACGATCTCACTCTTTGGATCGTACATCGTACAAAGATCTATATTATCGTATTTGTACGATCAAGATCGTACGGTTGGCAACGCTGATCTCTGCCATACTTACTCTAGTTTACATCGATCGTTGGGGTGCGATTACATGTAGCGCGGGAAGTGGCATGGACTAGTGATAAATAAACTTTAATATGAATTTTTTTGAAATATATTAACTTATTTCTATGCACATTTCATCGTTATTCTTATTTTTCAACGGATTTACTTAATAATTGCATTCAAATCAATTAATTCTATTAAAAAGTGCTTGTAACTAATTCTTAAGCCGGCGGCACACGATGCTTGTTTTCCTACTGGATTGCTAGCTGGATTAGAATCTTGCCACCGTATTGGATGTGATGCTGTCAGTGCCAGCATCGCAGCCAATACAGTGGCAAGATTCTAATCCAGCTAGCAATCCAGCAGGAAAACAAGCATCGTGTGCCGCAGGCTTTATTCTCTGTTCTCTGTTCCTTTTATTAAAGTGCGGAGTTCAAAACATCGCATCGCTCCAGTCACTGTCGGGATTTAAATCATGGCCTGATGCCCGAGATTTTCTAACGTTTTATCGACGAAGTCGCTATAATTATAGCGATAGCGCCGATAGCTAATGAGGGTCACATTTTTTCTAAGATTATCCTTGCTATTGACTGTCGCTAGTTAAAGATAGCGATAATCGTCAATAAAACGTTAGTAGTAGAAAATTCCACTACTAGTCTCCGAGTTTCCCGTGTTAAGAAGAGACACTATCACTGTTAACATTCATTCTGTTTTTCATTTTCTTCTAATTCTTAGGCCTAGAAAAAGACGAATAGTTTGTTGCACCAAAATTATATATAAATTTAATTATACATTTGATTAGCTTGATTAGAGTTTACCAATCAATAAGTTTATAAAATTTGGTGTTACATAATCAAATATTAAAAGTGTTATATAATCGCAATATTAAAAGTGCTATCGTCAATTGTGCTATTGCCATTGCACTGTATGATTGTATACAATAATTGATATACGTATGCTACAATATAATATATACATATATGTATTTAATTGTATATATTCAGTTTTATAAAATTTAAATTATACTATGTAATATATTATTTATAAATCGTTATAAATAATTTACATTTTTAATAATTCAACACTATTTAATTTATATCATTATAAATAATTGAATTTTTTTTAAACTGATTAATTATTAATAAATATTTAATTAAATAATTTTCGGTTATTCGATATATATATTTTTGTTGTTTTATAATTTTTGTTTTAAATAAATTGTTTAATATTAAATTAACAGATAATATTCAGAATATTTATCAAAATAATTATTTTATAAAATACAATTTATATGTAATGATTGGATAGTTTATTATCGATCCAGTGATCATCATCATAAGAGATTTGACTATAGACAAGCGATTTCCGCCAGTCCCGTGAGAAGTCGCTGTTATTAAGCAAGGCAACATCGCCAACATCGGATCAGACATGTTCGTCTCGCGGGAGAGGAAAGCGTGTCAATTATTAGTGCTTCAATTTTTTAGCGTTTACAACTGGGCAAATGGCACCTGTGTCGAGCTAGCCGCACGAAATTGATCTAAAGCGTTGAGGAAAGGAAAATGAGTTTCTCTGTGAAGAAGACCGGCGGCAGAATGTGGCACGAGGCACGCAAGCAGGAAAAGAAGATCCGCGGTATGCTGGTCGATTACCGTCGCAGAGCGGAACGTAGAAGGGACTACTACGAGAAAATCGTAAGTACTGCGCAAAAACGTATATAATGGATTTCTTCCTTCGTGCAGTTTGAAACGGATCATTGCACCACGCATTATTTTTACGAAAGATACGTCTCATCCTCTGTTTCTTGGTTAACCTTCATTGTGCCTTTCGTGTCCCTTTGTTCTATATTTTAAGTATCATCGTGATCAGAAGTATTTCTGTGATACATAATAAGTGTACATTTTTGTGTTCCATTTAGAAATCAGATCCTACTCAGTTTCTACAGTTGCATGGTAGACCATGCAAGATACACTTGGATCCGGCAATAGCTGCTGCAGGTGACAGTCCTGCAAACATGTGAGTTTGCTAATTATGCTCGTTTATTGGTAGAAAATAATATATTTTATTATTAGGATGCCATGGCAAGGCAATGATGACAATCTTATAGATCGGTTTGATGTACGGGCACATCTGGATTGGATACCAGAGCCTGTAGATACTATTGATGTTGATATTGCTCTGACAAGTGAAGACAGACATATCAACTATGAACGCTATCGTATAATTGTGCAAAATGAGTTTTTAGGCGGTACATTGTTTTTCTTTTCTCTATTGTACAAAAAAATCTTACCAGTCTGTTATATTTTTATTTGAATGATTTTTTCAGTGACTGAAGAAAAGTTTCTTCATCAAATACATTTAGAAGAACAGTTTGGTTCATCAACAAAGTTGGATGCTGCGAAAGATAAGAAGAAATCTGCTAATAACGCTGCCATCGGATATAATTATGAAACAGAAGAGCCAATACCTGAACCAGTAAAAACAATAGACCCAGTTATATCAGAGGAGAAGGGAGATGATGAAGACAGCGATATAGATTTAGGTACCATTATTTACGTAATGCACTGTTTAACGTATTTCAATCAGGCATTTTGCATAGAAACTGATGCCAGTGATCCATTTAAATTCCTATGAAATTATATATATAAAATTATCATATATATAATAAATTCATCACTAGTCTATGAGGTTGAAATCTAAATGCTTTAAAATATTTGAAAGAATGCTTCAAACATTACATTGACTGTACTCTGTAATGTTTGAACAACAAAAACACGAGCCGATACATTTTCTATATATTCGATTTCAATAATGCATTAATGTGCTCTGGAATACTACAAGAATGAATTAATTTTTTGATGACATATTACTTTTTTCAGATATATGCGTGGATGTATCTCAAATAGAGCCATCTCAGGCACATGAGATGAATTTAGTAGCTCAAAAATATGGACTTTTAGGTGCTGATTACTTTAGCTTTTTAACACAAGATTTTGAAGAAGCTGAAACCTTGCGACAGGCTCGCAAGCAAGAGGAAGAAAAAGCTATGTACTCGGTAAGTATTTGCAATGTAATTCAAACAACTCATGTTTATATAATATATAATTGTCTATATAGTATATATTATGATATACTATAATCAAATGTTAGAAAATATATCACATTAATGTAAACATTTAATATAAAATATATGTTTTAATGTTTGTTTTATATTTTGATATATAATAGGGTCGACGGTCGCGTAGAGAAAGACGTGCATTCAGGGAAAAGAAGATGATAGGCCGTGTTATGAGTCCGCCTAGGTAATAATTCATTACACTTTCACAAAGCAAATACTTTTTTACGTTATCGCTTATACAAATTCTTTTGTCTCAGTTACGCAGCTAGGGAAAGCCCGGAGTATAATCCTTACAGAAAATCCTCTTCCAAGTCGCGATCACGGTCCACATCACCTGTAAATACAGGACAGATTACTTACATCACAAGTTTCGGCGGAGAAGAAGAAACTCATGGTAGCACATCACATGTGTCTTCGTCGAATTCAAGAAAAGTCAATTATTCGTATCTCAGACGGCGGAGATCGGATAGTCCTGCTTTCAATGATAGAACTGTTAGTAAAAAAATTTCCAAATCCAGGTCAAGAAGCTGCTCACGTTCCGTTAGTAGGACTAAGTCGTATAGGACACGTGATAGGAAGCGAAGCGGATCTAGGATGAGGTAAGTTGCAAAAAAATAAAAAAAAGTTAGATAATTATTGATAAATTAATATTTTATGTTGTAATATATATATATATATATATAGTACTTAATCTCTCTACTTTTGAGGCTTCCACAAGAATTTTCTATATAGAAGCTATTCGTTTTGGATTATCTTCATGTCCAAATCCATTATTAATATGCAAATGTAAAATGGATTCGAACACGGAGATAACCCACGAAATGCATAGCTTCTGTATAGTATTTAATCTGTTTTATCTTAGATCTAGACGAACACGCTCGAGACCTCGGAAGTATACAAGATCCCGTACAAGAAGTCGCTCCAGACGATCACGAACGCGAAGTAAATCACGGTCGCGTTGTAGAAGTATCAGCCGATCTCGATCCCGTTCACTTTCTCGTTCGAGGTCTAGATCGCGCTCGCATTTGAAAAGATCGAGGAGTTCATCCTCTAGCAGCATATCAAAATCAAGATCGAGATCTAAATCGCGTAACAGGAGCCATTCTAGAGACAGCTATCGAAAAAGACGCTATTCGTTATCAAAGTCAAGATCCAAGTCTCGCTCGAGATCGAAGTCTCCATCAAGATCCAGATCGAGATCGAGAAGTCAATCTAGTTGTAAACGATCACGAAGCGATGATAATAAAATGCCAGCACTGCCTAGGTGAAGATATCACAGATTTCTCCAAAAATTAAATTACTGTAACGTATTGAATAACTTATATATCTTATACGTGCAGGTATTATGGCCGACGTGGAAAATCGTCAAGTCTTGAACTAGAATTATCCGATAATGAAGAAAAGTCCAGTCCAGCAGCACCGAAGACACCGACAAATACAAGCGTGTAAGCGTTTTATGAGCAGCAATTCTAATTTGCCACGCGTCTTAAATTGTTATGATATGGATTTAATTTTTTCCGAATATTCCAGGAACAAGCCAAAAGCAGGGTTAAGTACAAATTCTGGTGGCGGACACAAAGTCAGTAAGAACCATAACGCTTTCTTAGTCACTTAACGCACAGAGAATAAAGACAGAACATACTTATATAAGTATCTTATCTATATAAGTATAATATGTCTAAATGTCTTTCATCTGAAAGAAGAACTTCATCAAACGCGTTTTGTTTTCATTATATCACATTACTGATTTGTTAATGTCGTATTTTTTTGCATTTATTTATTTTATTTTTAATTTATCCTGAAACAGAATTTTAACATACTGTTAGAATTACAAAGAATGTGAAAATTTTCATGTGAATTGTTATATTATTTTATTTTAAAATAACT